GGTAGCCGTCTCTGATACACCCAATCGTTCGGGGGTCCTTCACACCGGGTCTTGGATGCTTCTTATTTGCGTTCAGGGCCCTTGCTCTTGTCGGACCCCCATTGATAACCTGCTCGGGTGCACTCGATCATTCGGGGGCCATCTATGTACATGTATCTTGGGTATTTTCGATTTAAATGGAGTGACCTACGCTCTTGTCAAAAGCCCTGCCTGTTAGCCTGGACAGTGATGTAGATGCTCGAGCACACTCGATCTTTCCGGATTCTCCATATTGTTTATTAGGTGCTTGCTATTTCTGATTTGAATGAATGACCCTACGCCCTTATCGGAGCCTATCAATTAAAGGGAGTGTTCCACGCTTGTATGAGGTTTTGAAATGAAATGGCCATCCTGAAGACCTTTCGGTGTTGTCCACAATCCTGCCCTTCTTAACACCTAAGTCCCTTCAGTTCCTAAGCTACACGCTTGCGAAAATGGTGAAACGTATATCGCGGAGAGTATTTCAAAATAACTTTGGCACTCATGACGTCATAATAATGTCTTTCAAATCCTGCCATTCCATAACCCATGCAGCGATGAAGGCCAATACAAATATAATTGTTGAAGCGTTCATACCTGGCATTCGTTAACGCGATTTCCAGATATAACGGCCGTCAAATGGCTCTCAATCAATGTTGTGCAAGGTACAATGACGTAGTCAAACCATGACGCACTGAGGAGCACATTTACTAAGCAGAGAATTGTGTTGTCTGGAGCAGTCATTTCCACATAAAAGTATATCAATAGTAATAAGTAGACTTGTTTCATCACATGTGATGTTTGCTTTAATATCTTCAAACGTCAACATTCCCTTTAAGCTGTTTGGGCCAATCCAGGGGGCCCACGATCCAGATCAAGGGGAGCACGAGACCGTGTCCCCTCCCCTGTGACCTGTAGGTTCCGAAGGGCCCCATAGCCGGCCGAATGGACACAATTTCCTGGCACAGACACAACGAAATTGGAGATCTTTGGGCGTCAAGACGACCAAAAGCGGCTACGAGCGAAAGTAAAGAGCCCGTGAGCAGACAAAATTAATTCTTCACTGATTCTTCACTGATTGCTCACTGATTGGGTAAAGTTTTGAGGAGCATCGCGTTGTCCAGATGCCTTACACTGTTGCCCAGGCCCTATATGTCCACTTACCAGGCCAATCCGATCGCTAACGAGCATTCTGCGTTGCCTTGATCTCTTCGCATTTTCTTGCATGGCCCCACGCTGCCGGTGGGACACTATCTGTTTACATGCCGAGGCACTCTCGATCGATCATGGGCCCTCCATGGATTCTTCCCATTCGCCCGACAGGCTCTATCCGCTTTTTATGGGCCCCACATGCCGGGTACACTCAGTTGTTTCGGGCCCTTCATATTGGTTTCGGTTTCTCTGCACTCGCTCAGAGGGCCTCGTGCTGTTGCTGGGGCCCATGTAAGGTAAGGTATAGAGCCACTCGATGCTCAGAGGCCTCTACATTAATCCAGAGCTCTTTCCCTTTGATCTCATTTCCGGAGGGCCGTTTCTGTTGACCTATCCTGGCGGACTTGATGGCATAGGCACATTAATTCACGTCCCTTTGCTCAGAGGGCCCTGTGTCCTGGCCGAGTTCCTGTATATCAGCTTGCCATGAGACTCCGATTGTTCAGGGGCCCAGCATGTTGGCCTTGGCACCTTAGCCTTGGGGCGGCAGTTGGGTATGTGCCGATGAATTTTCAAACGCGATTGCCGAAGATAATATGACGCGTCACCGACACCCTATTGTGTCATTTCGTTGGTTATTGACTCTGTGGCACGCATTGCGCTTGAGGGTAACGTTCTTTATATATATTTTTTTAATGCAAGGATACTTCGAACTCTTTCACAATATACAAAGCAAAAACTCTGCATTGGTCATCAGCCATAGCTGGTCACACCGATCGAATGTATGGCCGTAAATAAGATGGGAATCAAGGTCGTGCTTAATTTCGATGACGTTTAGCAGCCACTTTAGTTTATTTGTCATCTTTTGCCGAAAAACTTGGCCTCGAAATGACAGGATTCACTACGATCTGGAGCAAATGAATAAGCTTCATGCATGTGCATGCGTAGAGCGCCCAAATTAACTGGCCGAAAAACGATGAAATTTTGAAGGAGGGGCCCAAAATCGAGGGCCTCACAAGGCTGCGTGCCCCCTCTCCCCCTGCTTCGTAGACGGTTACGTTCCAGAGGATCATCAAAGACTAAACATGTCTAGACTACAGGCCGCACCAACGTCCTGCCAATAGACATGAAACATTCTACAGAGGGCATCGACCTCCAAGCATGCTGCTGCTTCCTGCACATGCACGCTTGACGCATAAGCACAGCTAGAGAGCGCTTCATGACATATGTCGTAGTTGCAAAACTAGATTTGCTTGATTGGTATCATCTCAACATGTGCCAGTATGGATAGTGGTCTTTGGAGTTTTGCTGAACGAACATTTCCCGAATTCTTCACGATCCTCATGGGGTCATTTCTTACGGAAAGACTTTCACTAGGCCTCTTACGCAGGGATCATGGGGGGGGGGCCCTGTCTAGGAACCGCTGCCCTAAAAAAAATCCAGTGCGGGTACCCAGACCTCTGTCTTTACCCGTCTCCAGTCAGTGGACGAGGCAAAGCCCCGGTGTGAGCAGCACCAACAGCGGGAGAAATGAGACCGTGCCATGCTAAGACAGCCTGACGTCTGCATACACAGATGCCCACATACGTGCATGCCGTGGTCCCCCGGCTCAGCGCGGTGACCAGCGTGCCGGCGCCCATGACACCCCCTGGCGGCCGGCCGGCCGACGCCGGACCGACGCGCAGGCGGCGAGCACCGCCGGGTCGGTTTTGCAACCCGCGGCCGTGCCTTCACCACCGCCGCCGCCGTCCGCGCCGCCGCAAGAAACTCATTACCAACCCAGATATACAAATTGAGTGGGAGCCGTGATGGACGGGCCGGCGGCAAACAATCGGTGAAACCGGCGCGCTGTGGCGATACCGGCGCGCCAGAGGTGTCAATCGCGCGCCAGCGGGGGTCCGGCGCGCCCGTCGCCCGCGGGCTGATCACGTGTCATAACTTGTAAAAATACGGCGCGCCCGCGCGGCCCGCTGGGCGCTGTTGTGCGGCCCTCTGACAGCGTGGCCGCGTATTTTGATGGCTTCAGGGCCGCGTCGATTGCCAATCGCGCTCAGCGGGGCGCGCGCGGGGAATGGAGATGTCAGTGGCGCGCCCGGCCAGTGGCGGCGACAGCGACGGGAGAGAGGGAGCGGAGCGGACGGCGGCGGGTCAGGCCAGGGGCGGTGTCAGCGACGGAAAACAGGGAGCACAGATGTCAGCGGTGAGCACGGCCAGTGGCGGTGACAGCGACGGGAGAGAGAGAAAGGGAGAGGGGACAGATGCCAGTGGCGCGTCCAGGCAGTGGTGGTGCTGGCCGCTGACCGAGCGCATACGTGACGTCATAAGCGAGAGCATACATACATTTTACACTCTAGGACCCAGGTCCAGGACCCCGCTTCGTTTTCACCGCCCATCCACACCAACAGTGCTCTGCTGCAAATAGGTCAAAATACATAAAAGACGGCGGAGAGGGGGGGGGGGGGGGGGGGGTACACCGATAAATTGGTCAACCCCCCCCCCCCCCACCAGTCAGAGGGAGATCTTATTGTCGCAGCCAGCCCGGGGTAGTGACAGCGACTGAGGCTCACCCGACGTTCTCAGCCGGTCCCGGTAGCGGCGCAGTCCGGCAGCAGGCGACCAGCTCCATCGGGCTCCTGCGGCCTGGCAGCAGGCGATCGGCTCCGTCCGGCTCCCGCAGGTTAGCAGCAGACGACCAGCTCCGTCCGGCTCCGTCCGGCCCCCGCAGCACGGCAGCAGGCGATACGCTCCGTCCGGCTCCCGCAGGTTAGCAGCAGACAACCGGCTCCGTCCGGCTCCGTCCGGCTCTCGCAGCCGGGAGTCGGTCGGCACCCCACGCTGGAGCTGGCTCCCATCAGAGCCATGCCGCCCAGCCCGCCAGCAGTTCCACCCAGCCGCGATGGCCGGCCGGCCGGGCCGTCAGTCAGGCCCAGCCTCGGCCGGAGTCGCCTCTCGGCACACCGGCCCGCCCGACGGCCGGACAGCTGTGTTGCAGCTGCGTCGGCGACATGGTCGGCGGCCTCGTCAGCATCGAGACCGGCTGGTAGCCCCTGCAGGAACGCATGACACCCAAATCAGAAGTCAGTCGGTCATTCAGGTTGTTAGTTTGCCAGCTTTAGGTCAACATCAAAAGTCAGCCTGGACCAGTCTGTGTCGAGTATGTCAAGCTTTCTTCACGTGACTTTCTCGTCAAAATTGTCTGAAAAATGTTAGGGTTTAAGTACTTAATTATCTTTTGAGCGCAATGCGCGCTTCCCGTCCGGCTGGCTGATTCTGTTGACCGGGTTGGATGATGGGATAGGGCAGCTGACGACGGACTGAATACCGAACCGCTCGTCATGATCGAGGTTTGTTTACATCACCGCGTTGATTCAGATCTGTCTTATTTGAAGTGTTTGGAGTCGCCTGTAGGGCAAAATGAAGTGCAAGCGAATGTAGCCTGTGACGTATCGCGCCCATGCCACACATGATCCGTGTATCTGTGTGAGTTTCAACGTCATCCTAGAGTTGCAGCCGAAGAGCCCTGGCGAATGAGGCGCTGAGTGTAAGCTAATCGTAAGCTAAAGCTGCAGAAAGTGACCTCCGTTTCGGCCGACCGACCCAGCCGAACGGCCGGAGCGCAGTGACCGTAGCACTGTATTGGACTGTAGGTGCGGCTTGTATCAGGCCATGTGAACAGCAGGCGGGCAGGCTCCCGCCCAACCGCGGCCACGGCTGTCACCTCGCTCCGCCACCCGCGTCGCTCACTGGCGACAAACGTGTCAATATGCCTCGACGACCCGGATCTGCGATTACCATCTGAGCACGAGATGTACGCAAACTCTGCAGCAGGATTCTCTCGTTTATTGCATTGCGCCCTGGGCCGGTCCACAGCAGGCAATCACGAGGGTCCAACTGCAGCTCCTGACAGGAGGGTAACGTTACACAAGCTTTTGAACTCGCTGGCGCAGTCAAATGATCGAGGCTGGCACCGTCAAAAGGGAGCGCATTCCAGTCAGCAGCTTTCATACAAGGGAGAAAACAGGTTACAGCAATAGAAAAGGGGCTACAAAAGCACGTGGGTTATCGGAAGCGCCACTCCGTAGACTATCTCCACGAATAATTAAGAACAGTCTTCGGATTAGTACATTTAGATAGGACTCAGGGAATAGATCGGTCCGTATCAAAGAGAACATTACAAGAAATGGACAGCAGATTATTTGTGCATAAACAACTACAGCGCTTTGGCAGTGAAATATCAGACAAATGCGTACATGCGAGACGTTCACAAGGACCAAGAACACGCATTTGTTTGGCTTCTTAAACTTACGAACGATGTGAATGGCTCGCAAAACAAATGAACGCTCCATGGCCGCTGCACCCGTCACTAGGATGCGCCCATTGCCTCGGTAGGGGGCAGCAGGTCCGGCCAGCCAGCGGACTTGCCAAGTACGTACGCAAGCCGGGACCTCGCGCAGGACTACAGCACACCAGTCAAATCCCATCTCGTCGAGTCACGCGCACCTTCGAGCACCGCTTAAAAACACTCAGGAAACACCTCACCAGTCACCGCTACAACACCAGCATCGCTTCAATTCTCCCGCGCAGAAACCAGCCCCTCCGAGCAACGTGCGCCTGGAAGGGGCTGTTTTCCCCGGTGGCCGGCAGATGACAGGGCGGCTCGGCCGCCAGGTGATTGGCTCAGCGTCGGTTTCCGTTCCGCTGGCAGATGGAGGGACCGTCCGGCTCCGACACGTACCGGTCCGGACAGACGCACGATCTGCTGCCGTTGTCCGTCGGCAGGCACAGCTGTTCGGCGCCGCAGCCGCCGTTTTGTCGGCCACACACGTTCGTCACTGAAACGGCGCCGCCCAATGAAACAACGGCTTGGGCGGATGGGTACAATGCGAGCAACGAGGAACGAAACTAAAAACGTTAAGAACGGCTAGTAAAAAGGAAAAACTGAAATAATTCATGCCAATTAATAACAATGAATCAATGCAACTGGAAGTTGGATGCAAAACGATGGGTGATATCATTACCTCTAATATAACCACTAATATTAATGTTATTAACCCCATGCCCCAAAAGAGATGCCTGGCTGGAGTTCCTGCACTGCCCTGTTGGGGTAACAGCTATGCCGGGCGGGCACCGCCGCGCCCTCACCTTGGGGACATGTGCGCGGCGTCGCCACCAAGCCGTACAGCTTGCCAGAGGTGCCCAGAACGGAGCGTAGCGACTTGCCCTTCTCACCGGTTGCCTTGTTCACCATGTGGATCTTCTTACTGCGGAGGGGGCTCGGTTAGCGCGGCGGACCCTCACCTGTCGGCCAGCTCACTTTGGTTTGGTGAGATGACGTTAACATGGTATTCTTGTTTTCTGGAGAGGGCCACACTTTCTCCGATAAGTGGCCCAAAAGGAACATAATTAAGATGACGTCGTCAGACTCAAACCTGTATTACACTTCGTGGCCGGCGTCAATAGGGGTTCATTTCTGAGGGGCTCCCCCCTCAGATATGCTGCAATAGGAAATGTGATTTGTTTTCAGATAACATTTGTTTTGGGCCGCAAAAGGCTACAAGATCATGCACGCACGTCATATTTTCGAATTCCGACAGACGCAATGTTCCCGCGCAGATATCAGCCTCAATGTCAACCATTTGATAGGTCCACGTTTAACACGCGCCCGGGCGGCCGGCTGGATACCCTTCGCTCGGGGGGAGGGGGGACAATTTGACCCCGATGAGATTTCGAAAACTATGAGAGCTAGATACATTAAAATCACAGGGTATGTTGACCTGTAAGTAAACTCACTTAGGTCAAAGTTTGAGGTTTCTTGTTCATGACCTTCGGGTCAAATAAGGTTAAACAAGGTCGAATTCCGGGATGGTTTCTAAGTGCCCACAAAACCTAGATAACTGTTTCTAAGCAAAAGGTCACATGCTCACTTAAGGTCGGTGACCTTGTTTGACCTTATGAAGGTCATGGTGACCAAAATCATACAAGACTGCTCTGAGTTTGGCATTTTAATAAGCGACAAAGTTAGCGCTAGGCAGTATGCCGCTAAAAACCAAATGTTGACCTGAGTAATTTAGGTCAATGACCTACTCTGACCTCTAAGAAGTCCATGGGAGATGTAGAAGAACGCGGTTCCTTCTATCAGTAAATTCAAACTGAGCACCAAAAACTATCCCATACAGCACACCCTAACAGTAATAAAACGGACTGGTTTTGACCTTGGTCTGACCTTTGTACCCAACCTTAGGTCAATGCAATTTGCTCATTCAATTGTTGCGTTGTCTAAGAAAGTATTTCAGAGATGCATGGCTTTGTCTAATACTCCGTTGTTGCATCAGATTGAACAATTCCCTAGAAATTGACACCGTTGAAACCATGACCTGACCTTGACGTGCCATAGGTCAGCGACCTTGCAAGGTAAATGCAATTTTTAACCAAACGATCCGATATTCAGTTGTCGACAGCTATGCAACATTTGGCGTGGCTACGCCGCGCCGTTCGGAAACTATTCCGGAAAAACCTTCGGGGGCGTCAGTTTGACCCCTCATCCGAGCGCGCGTCAAGTCGTTCCGCATTTGCTTCACTCTTTTAGCGTGCGTGCGCGGCGATTGCGGTGCAACAAGCCCCGAACGTCACCACAGGCCGACCGGGAGCGCAGGCCCAGCGGAGGGAGGGGGAGGGGGCACGCTGGGAGCGCCGAGCTAGTGGAGGGGGGGGGGGGGGGCACGCCGGGGGCGCCGGACCAGTGGGGAGGGCACACCGAGAGCGCCGGGCCAGTGGGAAGCACGCACTCGTTCCAGTCGGTCCAGTAGATGTTGTCGTCGGTGATGGCGATGCCGAACGGGTAGCTGGCGTCCTTGGCCACCGCACGACGGGTGCGCCTCAACAGGGAGAAACATTCTGAAACAACGGCCAAACAGCGAGTGAGGCAGCCAGTCAATCAGCATGAAACGGCAACCAAACAGCGAACAAAGCAGCAAGTAAATCAGCCTGAAACGGCAGCCAAACAGTGAAAAACCAGCAGGTAAATTAGCCTGAAACAGTGGCCAAACAGTGTAAAAACAGCAAGTTGATCAGCCTGAAACGGCAGCCAAAAAGCGAACAAAGCAGGAAATAAATCCGCCTGAAACGGCAGCCAAACAGCAAAAGAACGGCAACTAAATCAGCCTGAAACGGCAATTAGACAACAAACAAAGCAGCAGGTAAACCAGCCTGAAACGGCAGCCAAACGGAGAACAAAGTAGTCAGTCAAACGCCAGGAACAAAACAGCCAAACGATGGCTAAAACGACCGACTAACGGGATTATCAGCCCCGATGCGGCTCGCATATTTCAACGATCAAAGGCTTCCATGTCCCCACAATAATTATGCAGAATACCACTCATTTATGTGAAAATATAACGTCCGTTTAGAACAGTTAAATCCCAGCGAGTAAGGCCGACCGGTCTCTGTCGCTCGGCGCTGTACCCCGCACCGCCTGCCCGCCGGCGCCGGCACCTCCGCCGCGGTAACGTGAGCGGGCCACCAGCGACCACCGCCAGTTCACCCACCGACGCTCTTGGTGCCGGCGTCGGTCCAGCACAGCTCGTCCGTGGCGAAGTCGATGGCCAGCGAGTTGGGCAGGCCGAGGCCAGAGTCGAGCAGCACCTGGCGGTTCGAGCCGTCCAGCGCCGCTCGCTCGATCCGCGGCTCGCGTCTGTTCCAGTCTGCCCAGTAGATGGTGCTGCGAGCGCAAAACAAAAGGTATAGGTGGGGCTGCAAAGGCGGCGTCGCACCACCGCACCGTCAATCAACACGTCTTGTGTTTGGAGCTTTCACTGCATGTAAGCACAGCGGCGTCAGAAGACACATTCGCAAGACAGTTAAGGTGTAAAACTATGCCGGACTCTTTGACACGCAAGGACTCTTGGTCATTTTCTTGGTATATTTCTTACACAGTCATAATAAGGGTGACGATGCGTCATTGCGTGCCAGAAGACACCAGTGCGCCCTCGAATGAAAGCAAGCACCCATATAACCTTGATATTTGGTGAAAGGACATCAACCAAGAATGGAAGTCACAAAGCACACGTGATGATTCAGACCAAGGGCATGTTTGACTACTCAGAGCAGGCACGCTGCCGGCAGCCGCACTGAAAACTGTCAATCCTCATTCCCAGTGAATCTGCTGCCCTCGTAAGTATCACCCACGCACACACGCACGCACGCACGCACGTGTGCACGCACGCACGCACGCACGCACGCACGCACGCACGAACACACACACACACACACACAGCACACACACACACACACACACACACGCACACACACACACACGCACACACACACACACCACACACACACACACACACACACACACACACACACACACACGCGCACACGCACACGCACATACACGCACGCGCGCATACGCGCGCACACATGCTGCCCAACCGGGTAACACCAGACTGTTCACACACACACACACATACCCATGTCCGGGTGTACACCGGCCTCCCCACATCCATCCCTTGCCCGGGTGAATACCAGCCTCCCTGCACTCACCAACCTGGGTGGACACCAGCCTCCCCACACTCACCCCCTGCCTGGGTAGACATCAGCCTCCCCATACTCATCCCCTGCCTGGGTGGACACCAGCCTCCCCGCACTCACCCCCTGCCTGGGTGGACGGCCACGCCGCGCACGTTGTAGAGGCCGCTGCTGATGATGGTGTAGCGGTTGCCGGTGCTGAGGCTGGCCGCCTCGATCGCGTCCCGCGAGGAGTCGGTCCAGTAGACGTTCCGCGAGATGAAGTCCACAGACACTCCCTCTGGCGAGCTGATACCTGCAGGGAGGCGCCAGACAGGTGACGGAGACAGAAGAGAGACGGCGGCATGACAGCAACACACACACACAGTCACGACCCACCGACGCCGGCGCGACGGAGGCATGACAGCAACACACACACACAGTCACGACCCACCGACGCCGGCGCGACGGAGGCATGACAGCAACACACACACAGTCACGACCCACCGACGCCGACGTGACGGAGGCATGACAGCAACACACACACACAGTCACGACCCACCGACGCCGGCGCGACGGAGGCATGACAGCAACACACACACAGTCACGACCCACCGACGCCGGCGGGACGACGGCATGACAGCAGCACACACGCGATCACGACCCACCGATGCCGGTGTGGTCCACATGACAGAAGCGCGTCACTTCTCCACATCGGAGTTCTCCGAAAGGCTTGACATGGGAGTATGCCTCACGTGTTTTCCTTCAATTTACAAATGTTTCGCCCATGAATCGTCGTCCGTTCCCTCGGCAACGAACGTGAACGACTCGTTTGTGCGTGAACCAAACGACATTGCCAGTAAACCGATATCTTCGCTTCTGTGACATGTGAATCCAGTAGTTTTTTTGAAAAACTAGGCGCTGCCACCCAAGCGTGTTTCAGCGAGTGGTTTGGAACGTCCTCTTTAAACATCCTACCCATCTCTCTTCAGTTCATGTCCAGCCAATGAAAACACTAGCCAGCCTGCCATGTATGGGCTACCGTTACCATACCTCCCCTGGCGAACTCGACGCGCTGCGAGCCGTTGTAGGCGGCGGAGCGGATCTTCCTGCCAGCCACGTCGGTCCAGAAGAAGCGGCCTTCCAGACAGTCCGTGTCGATGCCTGCACGCCAAGCCGGTAACACTTGGTGACCGTTTCCACACGGAAAATCAGAAGGTGCCCGATGTAGAACCAGCCGTCAGAATGCCCACAACTATTCAGTACACAAACGCAAATGGAGGACGCACACGTACCCCCGATAAACCGACGAACAACAGTACAAAGCACTGAGAGCGGTCACAGCGGGCCACAAATGCAGCAGCGCCGCCGGCCTGGCGCAGCTCTCCCGCCGCGGCCCCAGTGTCCGTCCGGGTCGCGGGCGGCGGCGCGCCTCACCAACAGCCGTCTGCGTGGGGTCCAGGATGACCGGCCGTCCTCGCTTCCGGGCTTCGTACGGCACCTTGACCACGGCCGTGCCCTGGTTCAGCAGCAGGAAGCCGCCTTCGTGACGCGGCGCCGGCGTGCAGCGGCGACCTGGCGCAGGTCGGGAAGGTCAGAATCGGTCAGGTCAGACTCGATCGGGTCGGACTCGGTCAGGTCAGACTCGGTCAGGTCAGGCGGGACTCGAGACAGATAAAGTTCAGGGCGCAGGAGTCAAGTCCAGGAGAGTTTTAGGCTCGAGGCAAAAGGTGTTCCGATTAAAAGTGTTGTGCTGTTTTGAGGAGGTAATACCATTCTGACGCCTAAAAATGGAATAGGGAATGCAGGCACAACGAGTATGATACAGTGATGTAAGGATGTCCTTCACCTCATAATGTATCGCAATCAAGTCCAACTCAAGGAGCGGACGGTCACGCGTTATCGGGCTAAGCCAAGCTTTTATCCGAGGGGACTGAATGAATGTACGAAGAGGAACACGTAGCATCAACGCAACAAACAATGAGTACTACTGCGAAAGCTGAAGGCCTGTCGCCCTCTCCGAGCCTCTGCCAGAAAACGCACCGTCTCCAACAAAGTCCTTGAGGCAGACGCAGCGGAAGCCGTCAAGGTCAGGCACGCAGGCGGCGTTCAGGTCGCACTGGCGGGGGTCGTCGTAGCAGCTGACGCTGGGCTGGCACGTGTAGCCGTCCCCGGAGAAGCCCTGGGGGTCGGCAGCGCGTCACACACACGGCACGCACGCGGCACTGGCGCCGAGCTGTGTCACCCACACATCACGCACGCGTAACGCACGC